TCGCAAAGAAACTCATTTACCAATTTGTGTTGGGCCATATTCAAAGCCGTCCAGGGTCCCATGCAGTCTGCAGGCCACGGGTTGGACAAGCTTGCTCTAGGTAGCTTGGAGGCTCTGATAGAGGGGCTCAAAAACTCCACATGCTCAAGGATTTCTCTTTTCCAGATGGTGTAACTGAGGTTAGTGAGAACAGGAAACTTGTCCAGGTCTGTTACAAGTAAGACTTAGGTCTGGAAGCTGGCACAGTACTGCCTGTTCCTGAATTGCAGAAGGGAGTCAGAGGACAGAGGGTACCTGGAAGGGGTTTGAAGCTGGATAAATGAATATGGGTAAAAAGATTCTCTTCTCTGCCCAGTTATACAGTCTCCTAGGTGGCCAGGACCAAGCTTAGATATGGGGGGGAAAAAAAGGATACTTGGTCCAACGTCACATCTCCAAAATTGGGCCCCCATCATGCTGTGACTTCCTTATTTCTATTAATTAATAATTTCCTTTAAAATGCTAAATAACTGGAAAACAATGAAAGACACCAAGTATTAGGAGACAAATACTCAGGTATCAATTGGAATCATAGAAATTACATTTGAAGCAATTTGATCAAGTCAACTATTTTCAGATAATTGTACAATGAACCCATGTCTAGGAATCAGAGAACCAGTTCTTTTCCGGACTTGACTTACTGAGTAAAATTAGAAAATGCATTTCTCCCTTCAGGAGCCTGTGCAATCTTGGTAAAGTAAAGAGGTAAATGACATCTCCCCATAGTCATTTTGTTGTCCCGTATGCCCTTCAAGATTTGTTAATCAGGTGTCAATATCTAGGGAGGCCATGCAGGGGGAGCAAAGTGAACCATGTTGGGGCCTTATATCTTTCTTTGAAGCCCTGGGCCTCCAGCCCTTGTCTGGTTCCAGCACTCCTTGGACAAGGCTGTCTTAAGTAACAGCACCTCTCATTATTTGGGAAGCTGGTACCCCATATCTGCTTCTGAATCTGGTTTGTTTCTAGAGGACACACCCAATACATGGATCACATCCAGACTTGCTGCAAAGGGAATCAGTGAAGGAAACAAGAAAAATAGCTTCCTTTCAATTCACTCAACACGTAACTCATGCTTTGTTTTTTCTTGATCTCCTTGAAGTGCATTAATAACTTTTCTCCACCTTCTTTCAGAGAGCAGTTTCCAGGGGATTTGGCGGGGAGCGGCGGGGGGAGTTGAAGACAACAGAAAGCAGAAGAGGAGGAATGAGTAACTTCCACATCTCCTCCCCAAGCGGTATAAAATAACACCACTGCTAAGAAATTTCTAAGCAAAACCACACCCTCAACATAACTTGAAAAGAAAGAATGTCAAAAATACAAAATACCTGTCAGGAAAAGGGAGCAAACAACAAATCCCAGTACTGGGACTCACACTGTCCTGTGCTTTCCAACCCTATGGTAAAACTTAAAGTTTTGCAAAATTGACCAAAGAAACCGCTGAGGAAGGAGGGACATCACCAAGATGGTGAAATAGAAGGCACCCACTCATGTCCCAACACCACGATAAGAATTCTACACTCATCCACAAAGTCTCTCTGTGGGAGCCTCTGGATCTGGATTCACAGGGGAATTTGTGAAACGCTGGTGGAACCCAAGACCTGGGAGGGTCATACTGAGAGTGCAGACCAACACCCATGTGGCTGATCCGCTGAGCTGGCTCCAGAGTTCAGTCCCAGAAACAGCCCAGTCCTTCAGGGGTTTGGTTACATTTGGCCTTGAGCCTGCAATGAAACCCATCTATTGTGGGGTCCAGAATGAATCACACACACTAGGGCTTTGGCAGAAAGGCCGCTCTGCTCACTGACATCATCTGGGCAGTGAACCTGAAAGTTGCCTCATGATTCAGCTCCAGCCCCCATCAGCTGAGGTCCCAGCTCAGAGTTGCTCACACAACAATCCAGATGGACGCTCACACATATCTCATAGCCTAAGAGTCTGAGCCTCCCTGGCAGGCTTGCCAACCTCTGTTGCACAGCAGGTTGAGGTGGGATCCGGTCTCAATTCTGATGATTCCTGCTGCAGTTGAGGAACTATCCCTTCGGTGCTGAGCCTTGCAGGGAGATAGGTACTTGTCTTGGCCAACAAGATGGGCTCTCCGGCCTCCATCCCATGGTAGATTCCAAGGGGGGCCATTCCCAGCTTCATCTCCTTCTGCTGCAATCAAGAAATTATCACATCTGTGCAGGAACTTGCTGGAAGATGTGCAGTCCTCCTTCCAGCCAATGAGATCAGGCTCTCCAGCCGCTGCCCCACAGCAGATCCTGAGGGGTCAGGTATCAGCTCCAGCCCCTCCTACTGCAGTCAGAGGACTATTCCAATTGGCAGGGTCTTCCTGGTAGATGTGTCCCTGCCTGAGAGAACGTGAAAGGAATTCCAGCCTCTGTTGCACAGAAAATCCTGGATGGAAGGAGCCACTAGTGTCTGTGAGGTTTCGAGTTGCTCAGCTACCTTGCCAGGCATAGACTGCTCACCCTGGACTGCTTCCTGAGGGAAAAGAAAATGGCTTTTTGGAGCCTTTCAATTTTTCTCTCTCCGTAGCTTAATCTTTGCCCAAATTCAGACAAGAGTTAGTTGTTTTGTTTTTGTAAAAGTGAATCTACCATCTGAATCTTGTTTCTTAAAAAATCCAAGTTTTCTTCATTGTTTTGGAACTTGACATTGATCTTTACCTGAATTAGATATAATGAGGCCTGTTTTGGGGTTTCCTTTTGTTTTCTATTGATTTCTCAGCCTGACTATTCTTCTAACAAAAACAACATATTGATGATTGTTACTTTGCAAAACTTTTAAATCTAGGAGGTTCCAGTGCCCTCAGATTAATCTTCATTTGTAAGTTCGTAAATTCATAGATTCTTGTGAATCTATGCCTATTCACAAGAATTAATTCTTCTTCATAAACTTAAGTATTATTTGAAGTTCCCTTAACCTCCATAACCATACCATATTAAAAATGAATTTGGGGTATAATGCACCTTAGGAATAAATTAAATAAATATTGAATGTTGAATAAATATTGACATCTTCACCACAGAGTCATCCCGTTTGTGTATTGTGATACATGTATAGCCAAGCATTTCTATATACCTCTGAAAAGTTATATAGATTTCTTTTTTAAAGCTCTGCCTCTCTCTTGTTAAGTTTATTCATAGAAATGGTGTGGTTTTGTTGATTTTTTTTTTTTTAAGACAGAGTCTTACTCTGTTGCCAGGCTGGAGTGCAGTGGCACGATCTTGGCTCACTGCAACCTCTGCCTCCCAGGTTCAAGCAATTCTCCTGCCTCAGCCTCCCAAGTAGCTGAAACTACAGGCGCCTGCCACCATGCCCAGCAAATTTTTGTATTTTTAGTAGAGATGGGGTTTCACCATGTTAGCTGGGATGGTCTTCATCTTCTGACCTTGTGATCCACCCGACTCAGCTTCCCAAAGTGCTGGGATTATAGGCATGAGCCACCTCACCCAGCCAATTTTGTTGTTATTGATAATAGGAAATGCAGCAGGTGTAACTGATTCTTATTGGTATATAATAAAAAAAAATTTACTATCACTTACTAACCTTGTGACTTTTCATGATTACTTCATCTCTCTTAGATTTAATCTTTTTACAAAAATAGAAAATAAAATATTTATAATGGCCATCTGAAAGGGACTTATGAAAAATAAGTGACAAATACCTGTAATCTACTAGATATAGGAAATGAAATAGAGTAAAAATTAAAAAACAGAAACCATTATTGCCTCCAATGATGTATTTTATATTTATCAAGCCAGAGGTTTGGGTACTGCTCTCACTGGTACTCCAAGATACTCTAGTATCAAAACCCTGCTGTAGTTCAGACTAGCCCCTGAACAAAAGGCAAAAATCATGGCTCAGATGCTCATGGAAGGGGCAAAGTGGTGCAGGGATCCAAGTTGCTTCAACCCAAGCCTCTACTCCCCATGTCTTCTCAGAGCAGGAACCCAACACACAAAGAAGAGCTGTTTCAGATCCCAGAATGGCAGGTTTAGACCTTCCTTTGCAGAATAATTATATCTTACCCCCTCAACTGAAATAGACCTCGGAGTCCTGGAAGGGGACATACATTTGCCAGAGGTCACCCAATATGTGGGGAGGCAGAGCCCGTGCTCAGATCACCTGACTCTCAAGCCTGTGCTCATTTCCCTTTACTCAGGCTGCTCCCCATCCAGGGGTGTGGCCTGCCCTGAGAGTTCCCTTGTGCAATGGCAGTGGGATGAGTAGGTCAACAGGAGAACCATGAGGTCGCTCATATTTCTGCCCCTTTCTCCACTACTCAAGTCTGCCCTGCCCCCAACATATATGTCTCCAGAGAATGCTATTCACCCAAACCTCTGACACCAGAGTATGAAAGATTTGGTGTGTCTTGCCTCCTCATTCACATCTTAGAAATCTGGGAGAGGATATTGCTTAACCTAAAGGAAAGCTACATCATCAAGGAATCTCAGGCACGAACCAGTGAAATTCTAATGTGCAGGAATTTCGCAGCATCTGTAACATCATCCTTTCTATGTCTTCTTGGAAAGATATTGATCCCTGGGAAATATTAATGAGAAGGAAGTGGGGAGCTGTAGGTTCAGCCGTAAGGGTTGGCTGGTCACACTGGCAAGGCCAACAGACGCCAGGTCAGGGCTAGGTGGATTGGAAAAAAAGAGACCTGTTTACAGTTTATGTAACATTTATTTATTTATTGTGTTTTCTGTTTTCCCTGATCCTTGGCCAAAGGCAAGATTTCCAGCTTTCCATTTTCTGGTGAAATGGAGATGGCAGCACCGGGGCTGATTATCGGATTTGTAACATGAAGTCCTGGGAATGGGCCTCCTGTTCCCCCTCCCCGACTCTCATTCACCATGGGACCCTTTCCCCTCTTCACTGGAGAGAAGTCCCAATTCTACATCCATTTCCCCAAAGCATCTAGGAGCCCAGAAGTCATAGGAACCAGAAACAAGTGGAGCAGAAAGGACTCTTTATTGGAAAGTGGATGAGAGAGGCAGCTCCAGGCTTGGGCATCCTGAGTGGGAGGAAGAATGGGCAGTGTGGGAAGGAATAGGGTGGCAGGGACCTAGGACCAGATGGGCACTGCAGCTCTGGGGATGGCACAGGTGCAGCAAGGACAGGCTCCATCTGTGGAAGAGAAGAGAATCAGAGGTGAGTGAGAGTCAGCACATCAAAGAACTGAGAAGCAGTGAGGAGGCCAGATCATCCTTCCAGGCACTCTGGTTATACCTCCTCAGACCCCTCAGTCTCCCAGTCTTTCTGTCACCACCCACAACCTCCGTCCCACCAACCTGGGATGGCACCCCGCCGCTCAACCTTCTTTTGTGTCCTGTGGGGTTCCCTCTTCCTCCAGCTAGTGCTCACCTCACTGGGGATCCAAACAGGCCATCCCGCAAGAGCCTTCGCAGCACTTCTTGATTCCTGGGCAGTCAGTATCTTTCAAGCAGCGGTTAGGGGGATTCAACATGGCACACTGGATCAAGATCTTGGGGCAGGAGCCAGACTTAGTGGAGGCTTGAACTTTGACTGGCCCTTGCCCTTTGACTCTATCTTGACCTTTAACTGAAACTTGTCCTTTAACAGGATCTTGTCCATTGGCCAGAACATGACCTTTGACAGTGTCTTGACCTTTAACAGGAACTGTTAAAAGAAGAAATGAGCCCACATTTATATCCAGTAAGCCCCTGCTTCAGCTACCATGTATTTCCCCTGGATCCATCCACTGCTCACTGCAGCATCTTCAAACCATGACCTAAGTAGGGAAGGTATGCTGGGGGTACCTAGGGGAGCTGCGCTCTTGGAAGGTTCTTCCCTTTCTGGGGGGTCTACAGGACCAGGGTTCCCTTGAGTATCTGTTTCCCTCTTTCTCAACTCCAAGTCTCTCAGGAGCAGTGGTCAGACTGGAGTGACACTCAGCAGTGAACAGGACATATTGTCATTTCTTAGAAAGCACATTGGAGTAGGAAAGAGCCCTGAGCCACATATCAGGAGATTTGAGCCCCATCCTGGCTCTGGGAATTACCTTGGCAATTGCTCACTCATTTCTACATTTTGGTTCCCTCCTTATAAAATGGAGATCCTCAAATGATGTGATTTCTGAAGACTTGTTGTTTCTTAACCTCCTTTTAGAGTACTGATTACTCTGGTGCTTTCATGGGGCAGAGAAACAGGGGACAGTGTCCACACCCAAGGCTTAAAATCCTGGAGTTCATCATTTTATTGCACATTCTGCACAGGTATTAACACCTGAGACCAAGGTCACATACCAACACTACTTCCACAAATACTCCTGATATCTTAGTCACTGGGGTGAAAGCATGTGGAGTCCACCAGCCCAAGTCCTGCCTTTTCTGGATATGATGGCAAAGTCCAGAAAGCTGAAGTCTGGGCTTCATTCTGCCTACTGCTTCATAAGTGCTCCCTGTCCTGGCCCAGGGTGTCTCAGAGAGCCTCCCCTTAGTCCAACCCAGCCCCAGCAGGTCACCTGTTCACTCACCTCCCATGACAGCTGCCTCTACAACCAACATCCCAGCGATGAGGAGCACCACGGCGATCAAGAAGCTGCTGGCCCTCATGGTGTCAGGAAGGTGTTTGGCTAAGAGCTAAGGCCATACCAATCTTTATGCAGTCCAGCTTGGCCTGGCTCCAGGGGCGGGTCTGTGGTATTTACAAGGGACATTTCCTTAGCTGCTTTGGGAAATATCCACCCTATTCTGGGAGGGACTTGGGGGCTTTCCGCAGGGATTATTCACAGGGAGACCTAATAGACATTACTTCATATCACCTCTGATCATCCCAAGAGGTTTCCTACTTTCTCACAGAGTAGAAGTGCTGGCTCACTTGTCAGGTAACATTACAACCAAATTATTCATGTTTTGAAATACTATGAGGCCCAAGAAGAGAAAGGAATTACAGAAGGTTATTCAGCTAGTCACTGGTAGATCCAGTCTTCATTACAAAACCAAGGTGTTTCCTCATTATGCTCTCATAAACCCCACCCAAACCTACTTTATCATTTTACCACTCCCAGCATCAAACTGGGCTTTTCCTTCTTTCTTCCTACAAAAACTCTGTAAGACAAGTTTGCCTTGAATAAATAGTGATAAATTATTGCACTTTGCCATTTCACAGACAGTCTTTGAGATGCATCAAGAAAGTAATTGGAAAGTGGAATTCTAGGTCTGGAGAGGGATGATGCCCTGGAAATCACAGTGGTAAGGAGAAAATAATCAGAAAAGTGAAGAGTAGAAAACATAAATCATGTATACACTGGACATTGACAGTTTTTGTGTCCAGCACGCCCGCCCTACTTATTTGAACAGCACCCTGTTGCTTGTGAAGAATTCTCTCTCTTTACCATCTACTTGTGAATCTAATGGAAACTGCTAATCATGATAGCCTGACCCCTGACCACAGGTGTGTGTGTTTGTGTGTGTGTGTGTGTGTGTGTGTGTGTGTGTGTGTGTGTCTGTGTGTCTGTGTTGTGTGTGAGACTTAGCCTGGTCTATTAAAGTCTTTTATTTGAATTCAGAGTAATAAGAGGAAAAGGGGGATCCCTCCTTTTGGCAAAGGTGATGTATATGAACCAGGGAATTCCAGAAGCAGTGATCCCAGTCTGAGGGTGGAGATCAATTGTCTGAGAAAAACGACCCTAATACGCTGAGACAAGGAGAGAAATGATGGTCAGAGAAGATTCCGATGACACAGCCAGTCTTCCCTCCTTTACCTGAGAGCAGTCCTTCACACACCCTTCTCATGGTTGGGTTACAAGGCAATAAATTAGCCCTCTGCTTTAGCTAGTCTGACTTGCTATTCTGTCATTGTTACCAAGAGTTCTGAGTAATAGAAATGAATATCCTCAAGCTGGATGTTGTCAGGAACAGAATCTGAGTTCAGAAAGTCACTGAGTTGAGATGGAGTGAAGGCAGGGAAGATAATAAACTAATTACTGGGTATTAAATCCCCACCTTTTGTCTCTTTAGACTCTGATCACATGCCCACCAAGCCTGAAACTGAAGGAGACAGAAACAAATCTCAGACTGTTGAAGTCTTTCCGCTACCCTACAAAAAGCTTATTATACAATAAACCATACAAACAAACAAAATTGCATAGAAAATACCTATATTCTTTTAAAAATAGCATTAAAATGAGTGGCCGGGTAAAGGAGGAGAGCAATTACTGTATCTATGCTCCAGGCCTCTCCCCGGTTGCTTTATTCTCCTTCCTCCCCAGAGATAACCACTTTCCGAGATTTTATGGTAATTAGCCCTTGCTTTCCTCTATAGTTATGCCACTTCTGTCTGTATTCTGAAACACACATTCAGTTTAGTATACTTTTCAATGTGTATGTAAATGAAATCCAAGGCATAGTGGTCATATGTCTTGCTTATGTTGCTCAACATTACATTTTTGAGAGTCATCCATTTTGAAGCCTACAACTGTAGTTCATTTTCACTGCTGTATTCTATTATATGAAAAATACCCAAAATGTTATATATTCATTCTACTGTCAATATATATTGGATATTTCTGGGTTTTAGCTATTATAGTGTCACTATGAATATTCATGTTCATATCTTTGGAGAACAGAGGTATGCATATATTTTGGATATATAGTTAGGAATGGAATTGCTGGATCACAGAGTGCAAATCACAGAGTATAGATGCATCCAGCTATCATAAATACTGCAATTTTCCAATATCATTGTACCAATTCACACTGCTATCAGCAGTGTGTGAGCATTCCATTTCCTCCATAGCCTTACCATGCTTGGCATGAATTGCCTTTTCATTAGCCTTTCAGATGGACATCTTGTGGGATTTCCTGTTATTTGAATTTGTTCTTTCCTAATAAATGGTGAAGCTGACCCATTTTTAGTATTTCTTTCTTTTCTTTTCTTTTCTTTCTTTTTTTTTTTTTGAGACAGAGTCTCACTCCGCTGCCCAGATCGGAGTGCAATGGAGAGATCTTGGCTCACTGCAAACTCCGCCTCCTGGGTTCAAGCAATTCTCCTGCCTCAGCCTCTCAAGCAGCTGCGATTACAGGTACACACCACTACACGCAGCTAATTTTTGTGTTTTTAGTAAAGACAGGGATTCACTATGCTGATCAGGCTGGTCTTGAAGTCCTGACCTTGAACGATCCACCCACCTCAGCCTTCCAAAGTGCTAGGATTACAGGCGTGAGTCATTGTGCCTGGCCCATTTTTAATATTTCTATTATCCATTTGGCTATCCTCTTTTGTGAAGCATCTATTCAAGTATTGTACCTTTTATTTATTTAAATTTCAACTTTTATTTTAGATTTGATTGGGTTGTTTATCTTTTCTTATTGATTTGTAGTAGAAAATAAACTTTTATGCATTACTAATAAGAGTTTATATTGGTGAAACTTATTTGAAAAACAGTTTGACATCAGCTAGTAACACTGAATGTGTACACAATCTATAATCCAGCAATTGCACTAGTAAAGATTTAATTAAGAAAAATATGTCCACATGTTTACCGGGAAACAAGCACAATAATGTTCATAAAAGCACTGTTTTTGACAACAATATTCTAGAAACAGTCCATATGATCAATACTAAGATACTGGATAAATACATTATGACATACTAATGCAAGAAAGTATTATACAATTGTGAAAATAACTGAAATACAGCCATGCACAATATGACCATAATTAAAATAATGTTAAATAAACAACACAAGTCCAAAGTGACAATATTTGGAATTACACACGTCATAAAACTCAAAATGAAGGAAAACTGAGAAATATATTGCCTAGGCATGTTTACATAGGATCAAAAAGGGATACATAAAAAATGAGAAAACTGGCTGGGCACAGTGGTTCACACCTATAATCCCAGCACTTTGGGAGGCTGAAGTGGATGGATCATGAGGTCAGGAGATCTAGACCATCCTGGCTAACATGGTGAAACCCCATCTCTACTGAACATACAAAAATTAGCTGGGCGTGGTGGCAGGTTCCTGTAATCCCAGGTACTCAGGAGGCTGAGGCAGGAGAATTGCTTGAACCCAGGAGGCGGAGATTGTAGTGAGCTGAGATCGTGCCACTGCACTCCAGCCTGGGCAACAGAGTGCTACTCCATCTCAAAAAAAGAAGAAAAAAAGAGAGAGAGAGAAAACTATAAACATGAAATACAGGATAGTGGTTAACTCTGGAAATGAGAGAAGAAAACATTCTGGATGAGTGAGAAGGACACGGATTGATATAAATTATTGGTCATTAGTAATTTTCTAGTTCTTAGATTGCTTGGTGAGTGTGTGTGTGTGTGTGTGTGTGTGTGTGTGTGTGTGTTAAAGCTGCAGAGCAAATCATTTATAGATTACATTAACTTTCAATAAACCCATATTGCTACCCTCACAGGTTGTTTTCAATATTTTGCTATTAAAAACTACACCACGTGTGGCCTTTTTTGGCGTTCCTTCTTGTGAACCAGATTCCCAGAAGTAGATTTGCTAGTACAAAGGTGAAATGCATTTGAAATTTTGATAATATTACCATATTTCCCTTGATAGGGGTTGTACCATATTGTAATCCCACCAGTATGGATAAAATTACCTGTTTCCATCAAGCCTCATGAACAGACTGTGTGTCTAATTTGGGGGTTTTATTTTTAACTTTTATTTTAGGTTCAGGGATACATGTGTAGGTTTGTTGTATAGGTAAACTGAATGTCATGGAAGGTTCGGGTGCAGAAGTATTTCATCACCAGGTAATCAGCATAGTACCTGATTAGTTTTTTGATCTTCACTTTCCTCTCATTCTCTATCCTAAAGTAGGCCTTCGTGTCCACTGTTCCCTTCTTTGTGTCCATATGTACTCAAAGTTTAGCCTTCATTTATAAGTGAGAAAATGTGGTATTTGCTTTTCTGTTCTTTTGTTAGTTTGCTTAGGACAATGGCCTCCAGCTCCATCCATCTTGCCTCAAAGGACATGATCTTGTTCTTTTTTATGGCTGCATAGTATTCCATGGGGTTTATGTACTACATTTTCTTTACACAGTCTATCATTGATGAGCAATTAGCTTGATTCTACATCTTTGATATTGTGGATAGTGTTGTGACACACATACTGCATACATGTATCTTTATATATATATATATAATTGCATTTTAGGTTCTGGGGTACATGTACAGAACATGCAGGATTGTTGCATATGTACATACACGGCAAAGTGGTTTGCTGCCTCCATCCCCATTACCTATATCTGGCATTTCTCCCTATGTTATCCCTCCCCAACTCCCTACCCCCCACTGTCCCTCCCTTAGTCCCCTGCCAGACCTCAGTGTGTGATGCTTCCCTCCCTGGGTCCATGTGTTCTCATTGTTCAACACCCACCTATGAGTGAGAACATAAGGTGTTTGATTTTCTGTTCTTGTGTCAGTTTGCTGAGAATGATGGTTTCCAGGTTCATCCATGTCCCTACAACGGACACGAACTCATCTTTCTTTTTTATGGCTGCATAGTATTCCATGGTGTATATGTGCCACATTTTCCCTGTCCAGTCTATCATTGATGGGCATTTGGGTTGATTCCAAGTCTTTGCTACTGTAAACAGTGCTGCAATGAACATATGTGTGCATGTGTCCTTATAATAGAACAATTTATAATCCTTTGGATATATACCCAGCAATGGGATTGCTGGGTCAAACGGAATTTCTATTTCTAGGTCCTTGAGGAATCGCCACACTGTCTTCCACAATGGTTGAACTAATTTATACTCCCACCACCAGTGTAAAAGTGTTCCTATTGCTTCACATCCTCTCCAGCATCTGTTGTCTCCAGATTTTTTAATGATCACCATTCTAACTGGCGTGAGATGATATCTCAATGTAGTTTTGATTTGCATTTCTCTAATGACCAGTGATGATGAGCATTTTTTCATATGTTTGTTGGCCTCATATATGTCTTCTTCTGAAAAGTGTCTGTTCATATCCTTTGCCTACTTTTGAATGGGTTTCTTTGTTTTTTCTTGTAAATCTGTTTTAGTTCTTTGTAGATTTTGGATATAAGTCCTTTGTCAGATGGGTAGATTGCAAAAATTTTTTCCCATTCTGTTGGTTGCTGGTTCACTCTAATGATTGTTTCTTTTGCTGTGCAGAAGCACTGGAGTTTAATTAGGTCCCATTTGTCTATTTTGGCTTTTGTTGCCAATGCTTTTGGTGTTTAAGTCATGAAGTCCTTGTCTATGCCTATGTCCTGAATGGTTTTGCCTAGATTTTCTTCTAAGGTTTTTATGGTGTTAGGTCTTTTGTTTAAGTCTTTAATCCATCTGGAGTTAATTTAATTAGGTCCCATTTGTCTATTTTGCTTTTGTTACCAATGCTTTTGGTGTTTAAGTCATGAAGTCCTTGCCTATGCCTATGTCATAAACAGTT